AAGTATTAGTCTATTACATGACTCATTTCACAGCTGGCTCAGATTTGTCCTGGGTTTGATGCAGCAATTAATTCTGTTCAGAATTAAGAGAACAGAAAGATGTAGTCAGTCATTCCTGCAGTCTCTGGTTACAGTGTTATTTGATTGAAGGAGTAAGGTTCAAATACATCTCTTTTTAGCAGTGAACTCCTAGAATTCTTCAAGGCCATGCCACTTCAAATAAAACCCCACTATTTTTTTTCCCCTAGCAAAGTAAAAATTATTGTTTCCAGTTACAATATGTAACATTTATCATTTTGTGACTGTAAATCAGCAGGTTCACATATTAACCACAAAATCTTGGAATCAATCAGATTGGAAAAGACCTCTGAGATGAACAAGTCCAACCTATGACCTAACACCACCAGGTCAACTAGACCATGGCACTAAGTGCCAAGTCCTGTCTCTCCTTAAACAATCGATTCCCCTCAGAGCTCTGTCAGTCAGGATAGCTACTTTGCACTCTACACTGGGATTAAAAAATTGTAAGAAAAACAGGGAGAGGCCTTTCAGATCCACTTATTTTTACCAGTTCCACTCTGAATACAATCACATACTTTCCCACATTAGCAGATCACGTGTCTGAATCCTCATCCTGAAAAATCAGTGGGTACATCTTGAACACTAACAATTTTTTGGCTACTTTTTTTTCCCTTCCTGCCCCAATCTCAGAACTTTTGGATTGTGTGGCTTTTGTAGCTGTGTCACAGGCAGTCCTATGCACTGCTTTATACCAGCATATATAAAGAAATAATATGGCATTAAGTTATCTTACACCTTGCAGTGGTTCTAATGTGATATTTAAGAAAAATAGGAGTTTTTCATCAGTTACAGATTTAAAGTTCAAATGTGAACTTTAGACCCATAACTCAAACACTGTGTACACACACCCTAACCCTAACCCTAACCCTATATACAGTGAGTACAAAACTTATGTATCTATACATTTATTCTGATTATGGTCAGAGCAGTGCCAAGGGGAGGTGTCCAGGCACTAATGCCTTATTTTTTGTCCTTTTGGCAATTCTAAAAGCATCAGAATCTTTACTGGCAAGGCCTGGTCTCACGCCTCCTAGGTCCTAGGAACGGTTTTTGGTGGGAAGAAATACTACCAACAGTAGATGATCAATTTAAGAACCACTAAGGGCAATCTGATGTCTCCAGGTCTTTGCAACGGGGTGGGATGCATCCCAAGGTGCTGGAAGCGAATTTGTGGAGGTATAGCTGCTGCAAAGGAATCAGTGGTTGTAATTCTGTCCTCCAAAATGTAGCAGCTCATCTTGCTGGATGAGGGCACAATGATTGTGTTTTCACCTCAGGTTTGTTCAATTGCTAAATCTGCTGCTTTCAGCTTTTCAGGCAGGGCAGTGTGCCTACAACAGGTGTCACAGGATACAGGAAGGCAAATATTGAAACAGTCTTTATATCACTACAGCAAATTAGTTTATTGGAACTGACTTGATAACTGAGTGATAGTGAAATTATTACAGACTTTATTGATATATATATCCCTATTCAAACAGAAGTCTTTATTTTAACCTCAAATTACTTTCTAATTCCCCCATGCAGGTATGTATTTTATAAACTTGAGAACACAGCATTACTACTGTACTTTGTTAATTTGATTCATACCTGTGCTATAAATGTGATTTTTAAGATTTTTCAAATTAGTTACACAATAAAAATGTGCAATGCTAATGCAGCAGACCAAAATGCTATGAAGTTTTGAGTTTTTGTCTCAACAGTATTCTGTAAAAGCACTGACAACAAAGATCTAAGGATAGGGAAAAAAATAAACACTGTTTCATTTGTATAATAATTATTAAGGTGAACACATAACATCTGAAAAACAGATATCCAAAGATTGGACTTTGCTCTTTGCTTATTTTACCATCCTAAAGTTATATTTCATTTCTGGTACAGTTTTGATGGAGCCATTTACAAAACGCAACTCACTCTAAAGTCATTAAGTAGTTCTCTCTGCATTCTGTTTGAAGTGTTACTGACCTGCAGTTGGACTCAAAGATCTTTAAGACCCTTTCCAAACTAAATGATTCTAAATATTTGTGTATTTTATGCAGGTTTCAAACTGTCTAGGTTTCAATGTTCTTGAGAGCACATGACAGCCTGCAGCCCCACACATGCCCTTTTTGACCTTCTACTGGCTGACGAGCCACAAGTGCCTTTTGGTCTTCTAAAAGGTCTCAGAAACAGCCTGTATCTCCTGGAAGAGGTAGCAGACTAATGCAAAAAAATGTGCTCCTGCCAGATTGCCAGTCAAGAATGTGTCTACGCATTATCTGGTCAGCCAGACATGTGGGAGTACATGTGGTCTAGCTGGCAATCTGCTCACCAGGAGATGTGAAGAGCATTTATTCTTTTCAAGGGCGTGGGAGGTCTGTCAGTGCATGTGTTCTGTTAGGGAGGTTTAGACCTTTCTCCTTCTCAGCTGTGGGCACAGCCAGCAGCACAGAGCTGGAGTGGGGAGGCATGGCCAAAAAAGGGATGCCTTTCATCACTGCCTTTAAAACACTGAATGGTGTGGCAGTGTTAAGTACTACAGATTTGGCATATATTAAAACTACTTCTTTGGGTTTTTTTTTAATTACCACGACTGAAAGAGGTTTAGACAGAAGACAATGTCATAAGTATATCATTTTGATGTTTGTGATGACAGAGTTATATTTTTCCTTCTAAACAAAGTATGAATGATCATGGGCAGAATCATCCAGCACCACATTCAGCAAGGCTGTAAACATGGATACAGAAAATACCATGGAGGTACACATCACTGTAATGTTAATATGGGCCACAGTAACCAGGAACTGCTAATACCTGACCTTCATTCAAATGGCTTTGCTTCAGCAACACTTTACTTTGAGAACTGCACTTTATCTCTTTATCCTTACACTTTATCTCACATTATGGTGACTCCTTTCATATCCTATGTCATGGCCAAATAATTCAACAGCAAGTAAATTCCTTATGTTTCTCTTCCACAGCCTTCATCACTAAATGCTGATTGATACTTTGTAGACCTCACTAAGGAGGCATTTACATTTTTCCTTCAACACCATCACAAAGGAAAGGCAGTGAGATGAGCTATAGCTGTTGGAAAAGACACTCCATGTCTGTTCAAAACATATACTCAGCTCTGGCAAAGCACTGCAGCTGGTGTCTCCAAATATTTAATGCACCTAATTCTGAACACAGCTGGAGTGCTTGGAGGCTCTTCAGTGGCTAAAGCCAGCTCAAGGGTGCACTGCTGAAACTCACTGGTTTGTATCTTAGCTCCATATTTCTCCTTTTGTGATAGCCGAGGCTGAGAATATTGTTTATTTTTGAATTTTCAGATGTTTGCTGAAATTGATATTGAGTAAGAGAACAAGATTTAGATTACCTGGAGGTAACATATTTCCTCACTGCCCTCTCAAAGGAGAGAACTATATTATGTAATGTGAAATGTGTATGATTGTAAACTTATGTTCTGGGGATATATCATTCTAATCTCAGGATCAGCCCTCCCCCAAAAATCTGTCATATAAAAGGCCTTAATAATTCTATTTTTTATAATGCCAGTTAGATTCACATAAACAAAAGCCTAGTATATGTGCAGGACACGCACATTCTTACCTGTTACCAAATGTAAACTATTTTATATAGATTTCAGACCACACAACTCACTGCAATTCAAGGCATTTATAAATATTCAATTAATTAAACACAATGTTGATATGAGCACCTGCCCAAGAGCTAGCAAGAGGGAGAACTAACATTTCTCACTACAAGTTTCTTCCATTTGGATTAGAACTTGAACTGTGCAGGATGTGCATGGTGGCAGTAAAGTGGCTTAGGGTTAGCTGGCACAACCCACTGTACTTACTGAGTGCTGACTGTCATTTAAAGAGATTGCCATATTGCTAATCACATAATGTACCCTGGAGAGACAAAAGGTGACTTTCTGGCCACATTGTGAATTGCTATGAATACCTACCACAACATTTAATTCCATGAGTGAGGAAATGTGGGTAGAAACTGCTGGTTACAGATGAAGTTTACAACATCAAAATTTCAACAGCTTCTCTACTCAGGGAAAATTAATAATGGTGTATCCCATTGGAAGGTATTAGGTGTCTTTAAAATAGTCAAGTGATTTGTTTTCTTTTAATTACTTCCTGCCAATATCCATAGTTTTCTCTAAATGTTCAAAAGTAACTTAAAATCCAATATAAAATCGCTATTGTTTTTATATCATCAGAAAAGAAAGATTAATGACATATTTCAGTAATCTGGTAATAACTGGCTTTTTTCATGGTTCGAGCTGTGTGCAATCCTCAGTGGATCTTAGATGTAGGTTAAAAAGGTATTTAATGCCTGTTTTTCAGTTGCCAAGGTCAAACATCACCTAGCATGTATAGG